TGAGAGGATGGAGTGACAAAAGCCAGTAGATGATGGGATTAAAAGAAATAGAAATGTTTGATGGTGTCCAAGGCACTAAGAGGTCAAGGAGAATGGGGTGAGGTAGACGCCCTGGGAACTGTGTGAGACTTCAATAAAGTGGAGAGGATGAACACAGACTAGAGAGGGACACAAGGTTAGAGTTGAAGAAGACAACCGTGCCGTGGTTGTAAACAGAATGTTCAGTTAGAATTGGAGATGAGGAGCAGGGAGAAAAATCTGTCTCTCTCTTTCTACATGCTTTAATCTACTAATTCCTTTCTCTCTCTTAGCTCCTTCCTTTTCTTTTTTACTCCTTAGTTCGTACCACCCGCTACTTGGAGCAGCACCCAGTTAACTTTGTCCAAGTTGCTTGCGTCTCTTCTTTAAAAATAATTTTTTTAAAATCTCCCTTCCCCTACATATTTTGTAAAGTGTCCTGCTCTAATGTTCATATGCAGTGCTGTGGCTGTACTGTAATAGCTGCTGCTGCCTCTAAATAGGGTTACCAGAGAGCAACCATGAAAAAACGGTACAGGGGATGGGAGGGTAATAGGTGCCTATATAAGAAAAAGTCCCAAAAAACAGGACTGTCCCTTTAAAAATGGGACATCTGGTCATCCTACCTCTAAATCATAAACTTTTGGGGCAAGATACCTGTTTGGTACCCTTCACTTACGTTGCAGAGCTGTGTTTCTGTTTTTTTAAAATATATGTGTGTGTGTTTATATATAAACTGAAACCGAAAAGTACAATTTTTATGCCTACGTATTGCTAGGTGGCTGTGGTGCCATACCAAGATTGAAATCTGCTGTCTTAAGTAAGGAAGATGAGAGGAGGAATTACTGTCCTCCTGGGACCACTGTGAGTTATGTCTGTCGTCCAGGATATGAGAGCACTGAACTGAGACCTGTCATTACTTGTCTTGAGAATTCAACATGGTCAGAAGCCCCTGAGTTCTGTAGAGGTGGGTGTCTTTTTTGTCACTTTTCTCTCTCCATTGAGCGAGTGGCCCTCTGTGAGCAGATAGGAGTGTTTTGCGTTAAGCAGCTGGTTCACATTTCAGCACTGGCTTGTCAATGTTAGTTTGAAAACCCTTTTTGTCAGGTTTGGATTTGAAATTTGAATTCAGCTTTAAATGGAGAGAGAAAGCAAAGTGAGTACCATTGAACGTTAGACAGCGGCTGCATTTTGTTTTGCATTAAGCTTTTCATTGTGTTCGTTGTGCTTCCCAGCAGCGATAGGAAATCACAAACAATGCAGTAAAGTTAATATCATACTCTGGTAAATATTCATTTAAAAATGGTGAGAATAATCGTATTTTTGTTGTTGTTAAAATTCACACATTTAAAAATTCTAGCCTCTGAGATGACTCATTCAGCAAACAGTTCAACCAAACTGAATCACCGTATTAAAAAATAAATACAATATTTAATAACTATATGTATGGCAGAGTTGTTCAAATATCAAAATACATAACAAAACTTCAATGACGAATGGCCTGCATTGTGAAGAATACTGTAAGTTTTGGCAAATCTCCCTGTATTGAGTCTGTGTCTGTTGTATTCCGTGCAAAACCTACATTAATACAGGGTGAGAGGAAGGAGCCAACTGAGTGATCACCCTTAACCGCAGCTCCTTGCATGTATGTATTATATTCTGTTTGAAAAACAGCCTATATCTTAATACTGATGTGAATTTCTTGTGCAGTCTTAGACTCAAGTAGTCTGGCATGCCTGATTAGGAAAATACTTGATGTATATAATAGGCCATATATTTTTATGTGCAAAAATCCTTGTCCACATCAAGGACAGAGATGTTTTCCCAATATACTCATTAGTGCTGTTTGTAGCTTTCTCTGTGGCTCCCTGAATGCAGCATGTCTCTTCTGTTTGGCATGTGGACATGGTGAATGGCTGATGGTGTGTTCTGTCTGGTAATAAGTGCCTGGCACCAGAGGAAGCATCACAAATAACTCCCTGTACCAGGGAGGAGGAGTCTTTGCCATTGAAGTTGACAAAGTGATAGAATTCAACACTTAATATGGACAATAAGAATATCCACAGTTAAGTAGGAAAAAAACCCCAGAGAGGAGAGTGAACTAACTGCACTGCTAGTCTGCCATTGCCATAGTCCAGGGATAGCCAGACTTACTGACCCTTCGAGCCACATACAACAATCTTCAGAAGTTCAAGAGCTGGAGCAGGAGGCACCTGCTGGGGCTCGGGGCTTCAGCCCCACTCCTGCTGAAGCCCTGAGACCCACCTCCCTGCTGGGCAGAAGCCCCCAGTCCACCACTCTGCTCCAAGGCAGAGGTCCCAATCTCCTCCACCCCCAAGTCTGGTGAGCTGCACTTTCACTGTAAAAGGGCTACAGTTTGGCCACCCCGGCCATAGTCTCTCGTAAGTCTGTTAGAGTTTGTTGCATCAACATAACACGCTAACACTGATCTTGTTCTGCGCTAGGGAAATCTTGTGGTGTTCCAAAAGGACCAGAGCATGGCAGAGCTGTTGATATAACAAATGACCGGTATGGTGCAAGAGTAAATATCATTTGTGATGAAGGGTGAGTGTTGGGGAACCGGTGCTGATTAATTCACAGAGCTTAGTTTGGTGAACAGTGGAAAATTAATAATAGAATTTCCGATCTAATTTAAAAACCTAATCTGAGGCACGACTGAGCCTTGGCAGGGCCCCACACAGACCTATCAGAAAAACATAAGAACATACTCTCATTTTAACAGGAGAGAGTTTTATTTTAAATAATTTCACACAGCTGCCTTCGTTGAAAAGGATCCTGACATGCCTTAAATGCTACAGGGACCTGCCACAGGCAAGGTGAGCCCCGTTGTGGGGGGTTCCTCAGGTTTTAATAATAATATAATATATGGAGACATACCTATATTCTAGAGCTGGAAGGGACCTTGAAAGGTCATTGAGTCCAGCCCCCTCCCTTCACTAGCAGGACCAAGTACTGATTTTTGCCCCAGACCCCTAAGTGCCCCCCTCAAGGATTGAACTCACAACCCTGGGTTTGGCAGGCTAATGCTCAAACCACTGAGCTATCCCTACCTCCTTTTAGTAGTCTACGAGAACAGACAAGCTTCCCACAGCCAGGGGTTTAAACTAGCAACATCTTCACTGCTGTGCTAGGTCAAGTTATCCAAACAGGAATTAGCCGAGCGGGAGCGACCACGCTGCACAATAATGGTGGAGATGCAGAGAGTGATTGGATTAGCAGCACAGAGTAACTGAGTCCCCACTGCATGAGGAGCTCCAGCCTAAGCAACTCTCAAGCTCCCACCCACACTCCAAGTAGGCCGGCTAGTGGCCAACTCGAGCTGGAGAAATTCGTCCTTAAACAAAAGCTTCTTTTGACCACCATGAATCCTGTGCTCAGAGCTAGAATGAATATTTCTCCACCTTACAATCACCAGTTTTATTTGGGGTTTTTGTCCGGGGTGCCTGGGATTGTTTTCAGCATAGACACTGTAGAAAAAGGAATTCTGCAAAAGGAAAGATTAGTTCACGCATCTGACTGTTCTGAAAATCATATAAACAGCCAGGCCACTAACAGAAAAATATCAGATGCCGTAAGATGACTAGAGTGACTTTTACAGGGTTAGTATCTGACAAAACAGGCTAAAAGAAAAGAGGCCCAATCCCAGATTTGTTCCTTCTCTCTCCTACAAATATGTCGAAACTCTGCCTCCTAACACACACATGAAAGTACCACTGAACAACATCGCTAAGCCAAACAGGAAAAAATGTAACTA